CTCCAGTAAGAGATGGGGTAGGGAGGTTCAAACCTTCGGAATTTCGGGGGGTCTGGGGGAGAAGGCGTGGAGACTTCTGTTCAGACAACCTCACGCTGAGCCCAGCAAGGGCACCCCAGTCAGCACCCGAGGCCGCACCCCCTGACCCAGGTCTCCAGGGACACTGAGGCAAAGCCATGGGCCCGGGGGAAGGAGCCCGGGGCCCAAACAGCTCCATGGAAGGAACACGTGCCAGGGGTTCCAGGCACGCCGCTCTCTCCACAGCAGCCACAGAAAGCCTTCCAACCACCCAAGCCTCCACAGAGACACCTTCTTTGAACAGGGGGCACGGCCGGGGGCTACCCACAGTCCAATTCCTTTCCCTCTCACAAGAAGGTCGCAAGTGTGGGCTGCCTGGGATTCCTGTGGGTCGTGGGGACTCCTGCCCTGGCCAGTGAGGCCTGCCTGGGAGCTTCAGAACCCACTCTCCTCTCACACTCCTCAGAAGGAGAGGCCCAAGGACAGGCAACCCCATGCCGCAGAGTGATGCTGCCTGGGTGATACGGCCGCAGGGTGATGGAGCCTGGGTGATACGGCCGCAGGGTGATGGAGCCTGGGTGATACGGCCGCAGGGTGATGGAGCCTGGGTGATACGGCCGCAGAGTGATGCTGCCTGGGTGATACGGCCGCAGGGTGATGGAGCCTGGGTGATATGGGGGTGCCAGAGAGAAGAGGCACAGCAGGACACTGCCGGGGCTTCCTGGGGACCCACCGCCTGGGGTTGAGGCACTGCCTTGCTGTGGCCAGGATATCACAGTGAGGGGCCTGGGGCCCTGAGCCCAGAGATAAGCGGCTCTCAGGAGAGAGGCCGCCCTGGATCTGTCCGGCCTACAGGCCAGCTGCCTGAGAACATACCGAGTCCTTCTGGGCTAGGGCCAGTGCTGTCTGGGTTCCCTGTTAACAGCAGCTGAGAGCGTCCCCGCTGCCCCGTGGCTTCCCAGGGCCCTCGAGCCACACTACCACATCCCCTGCAATGCAGCCCAAAGCCTCTTCCTCTGTGAACGAAGCTTCGCCTGGCCCCCGAGACAGGACCCTCTGGTTAAACAGTCTGCACCCTGAGCGGCCTGCGCACCCCAGGGAGTGATCTCCAGGAAGCTGAAGGACAGGCACACAGGGGAGGGGACATGGGGACACTTCTGCTGAGACGGCATCTCATGGAGCAGAGAGCTGGTGGAAGGGGACAGAAAAGGGGAGTCATGCCAGGCACAGTGGCTCACGTCTGTAATCCCAGCACTGGGAGGCCGAGGCAGGCAGATCACCTAAGGTCAGGAGTTCGAGACCAGCCTAGGCAACACGGTGAAACCCGTCTCTACTAAAAATACAAAAATTAGGCAGGCATGGTGGCAGGTGCCTATAATCCCAGCTACTCAGGAGGCTGAGGCAGGCAAGTCGCTTGAACCAAGGAGGTGGAGGTTGCAGTGAGCCGAGATCACACCACTGCACTCCAGCCCGGGTGACAGAGCGAGATTCTGTCTCAAAAAAAAAAAAAAAGAGAAAGTGCGAGTCACACAACACCGTCTGGGGAAGAAAACTGTAGCAGGGCCACGCGGGCTGGGGGCCGTGTCGAGGGCCGCATCAGGGGCCCGAGACCAGCTGGGAGGCGGACGGGGCGATGGCACGCAGGGCTGCAAGGCTGGGCAGGCGGCGGGTTCTCAGTCCCATCAAGCCAGGACACCTTCACAGGGTTCTGGGCATGGCACCGGGATCTCGCCTCCTCCCCAAGAGGCTCAGGAGGGGACAAGGGTAGGGACAGAGGTCGAGGGAAGGCCAGCGCTGTGACTGTAAGGCCACAGGGCTGGGATCACAGTGGGGAGAAGCAACCACACATGGGATGTATTCCCAGAGCAGGTGCCAGGACACACGGAAGTCAGGAGCTGAGGAAGGGTCCACACGGCGTCTACCCGAAGGCCTGCAGCCCAGCTCGGGTGGCAACCCCCTCTTTGGCACTCCAACCAGCATCTCCCGTCTCCAGCACAGGACATGGACGCCCTGCCCCACGCCCCAGCACTGCAGGGTTGGGGTCGGCATGGGGCAACCACGCTGGACGCCTCCTGCCGCTGGTGCTCTCTGCCTCCTTCTCAACCTTCCCCCTAGGCCACTCCTCACATGCAAGACAGTGAAAGTTGCGCTGGTTGCCTCCTCCCTATCCAAGGACCCCACAAGGTAGGCTAAGGGCCTGGACACTGATTCCGCAGAAGACGCTGGGGCCAAGTGGGCTGGGAGCCCTGCTGATTCCCTTCTCTCTGCCTGGCGGGCACGCTCCCCTGCCTCTCCAGGGCACACTCCTCTCCAGATGCCTGCTCCATGGGCCCCCATATCCCTCAGCAAGAAGCCAGAGAAAAAGGGCTCACATACACTGTGGCCAGGCCAACCCCCGCCATTCCCCCCGACAATGTCTGTCACTGTCACATCGTAGGAGGGACACGTGTAGGCGGGATCCCACACGGGAGTTACCCGGACGCCAGAGCAGCTTGGGAGCGTGCGCAGCCCATCCTCGATGAGCGAGGGCGTCACACGGGGGTGATGCTCCAGAGACGGCACCAAGCGCAGGCCCTCCCCGGAGCCAGCTGCCCAGTGGGGAACAGCACTCCCACAGACACAGGGCCGGGGGGCAGCGGGGCAGCGAGCTGGACAAGGGGACCTGAGACCTACTCTCTACAAAGAGAGGGAGTTTACGAGTGACTTGTAAAATTAAAGATGAACTTACTCAAAGACAAGCATTCTGGAGACCACAGGCTATTTTAACAAGGACTGGGGGCTAGATTAGACGATGGTCCTAAAAAATGACATGTTGTTAGGCGAGATCAGCTTGCTGTAGGGTTTTTTTTTTTATGGAGTCCTTACATGTTGGAGAATTTACAGACACAATGACGTGATGGATACATTCTCTATGACACTGTAGAAAAAGAATCACAGTGGGCAGAAAGGGACTGGCAGTGCCCTTCGCTGGCACAGGAAGAGGGACTCATCACACTACGTCCACACGCTAGAGATTTCCACAGAATTTTCAGAAAGGTTCAAAGGCCCAGGGCGTATGCGAGGGAGAAGGCGGGGGCAGGCCTCGAGGGCTGTGGTGGTGCGGGACGGCGCCCACCCACTGAGGCGCAGGACGGGGCTCACCCACTGTGGCGCGGGGCAGCCTGGGGCCGGGGTGTGTGCCCCCCGGGCATGCCGTCCTGCCAACACACTCAAAACCCCCATCCCAGTTTCTCCCCCGGAACCAGGGCTGCCACAGCCCCACGCAGAGGGAGCTTCTGTTCATACTCCATCCACGGATCTCAGAAATCACTGAAAAAAGGGCTGAGGTGCTTTACAAAATCGATCCCGCACTTCACCCCGGTCTTTCTCTGGGACGACTCGGCTACGCTGGCCTGGGCTGGTGAGCTCTACCACATTTCTACATCGAGCCTGACCCGTGCGCCCATGCATTCCCGTGTGGACTGTGGCTCTGTGGTATCTGTGAGGCCTGCAGCCTACAAGATGCACAGCATTTCCTCTCTGGCCCTCTGCAGAATAGGTCTGCTGAGCCCGGGCCAGCGTGGGGCCAGCGTGGGCCTGGGACCTGGGGCCTGGCATGCAGACACAGCAATGAGAGAAGCCGCCGCACCTTATTCCTCAGGTCTGAGGCAGGCACGCGGCCTCCAGGAGGGGAGGCAGGCCGTGAGGTGTCAGGGGCCACTGTGGGGTCACCATGGGGCCTCGGCAACCAAACCCAGGCCCCACATAGCCCACAAATGAGTTTTGCTCAACCCCAACAATGCTTTATTAAACAAACGAAATACGTTGTCAATATCCAAAGAGTGAAGGATTTCACCTAAAAACCCACACTGACAGCTCTCCCTGAAAAGTCAGCGTCAGCCTGTGGGCTCCCTGCGCTCCTGTGCCACCCTGTCTAAGGAGTTTCTGCCAGGGAGGGTCACAGGGCTGCCTGAAATCACAGCAGAGGGTCCAGGATGTGGAGGCGGGGCTGTGGGGAGAGCAACGGGGCACCCTCAACAGACGGGGGTGCTGCCCAGGCTGGAAGGGCAAGGACAGAGAAAGTCAGGCAGAGAAGGCGGCCCCCGGGGTCCCCAAAATCGTTCAGCAGAAAGGAAACTTGGAGCCACAACCCCAGCCCCTCCCTCTACAGCCAGGAGTGCAGAGCCCAGGGGGGGAGGGGAGGCCAGGGTCGGGCATCCCAGGGCCCCAGGAAGGGAAAACAGGAAAGGGGGGTTTCCTCCCACCCAAAGGCAAAGGAAGCCAGTGTCAGGTGGGAGGCAGCGGGGTCGGAAGCCAGCGTCAGGTGGGAGGCAGTGGGGCCGGAAGCCAGCGTCAGGTGGGAGGCGGTGGGGCCGGAAGCCAGCGTCAGGTGGGAGGCGGTGGGGCCGGAAGCCAGGGTCAGGTGGGAGGCGGTGGGGCCGGAAGCCAGGGTCAGGTGGGAGGCGGTGGGGCCGGAA